ACACTGTGTTCTCTTGCTGGCATCTCAAAACAGCCACTCTAGAATTAATTAAAAATAGCAATCTATGAGATTTTGGATTACAGTGTTGCATGGTTGAAGATTCATTTCACTACAAAAAGAATAGATGTCATTATCCATTTGTTTCACTATAGGACAATAGTTTATGCTGTAGTACATTTTTTTTTTTTTTTAATTAGCATTAGGAAATACATTTTGTTTTTCCTTTTTATTATTGTGATTTGGGTGAAGATTTACAGAGCAAATTCACTTTCCATACAGCAGTTTACATACACTTTGTCTCATGACATTGACCACAGTTTACCACAATGCAACAGCTCCCCTCCCACTTCTCCCCATAGTTACCTCTTCCCAGTGTCCATCCCTCCATGGACTCCTGCCCCCTAAGCTGCCTCCCTGTGCATAGGCAGCCCTTCTTTCTCAATGATTGTTCTCTCCAAGGAGTGTATCTGCCTCAGGTAAATGTTCAACTCATATGCCTGTCTATGTTTTAATGCAGGGTAGTTTTGCATATTTTATAAGAATTGTATGATGGATGAGGAGGAGCCCTGTTTGTGCAGTGGTTAAAGTGCTTGACTGTGAACTGAAAGGTTGACTGTTCCAGCTGACCAGCCGTTCAGTGAGTGAAAGATGGGACAGTTCTATTCTGTCATAAAGTGTTGCAGTGAGTTTGAATCAACTTGGTGACAATTTTTTTTCCCCTTTAATGTAATTGATGAGCTCTGGTGCACAGTGGTTAAAGCATTTGGCTGCTAACCAAAAGGTCAGCAGTTTGAACCCACCAGCCACTCCATGGGACAAAGATTCACAGCCTTGGAAACCCTATGGGGCAGTTCTGCTCTGTCCTATAGGGTTGCTGTGAGTTGGAATCAACTTGATGGCAGTGGGTTTTTTGGTTTTTAACCAAATATAATTTAAAATATATCCGTAGTAATTTTTGGATCAAATCGGTCATCCTGCAATTGCTAGCATATGTTTGGCTCTGAAAAAAATAGTTTTTTGAGGTATGTATTGTTATATTGGAATAAAAACATGATGCAGGATAGAAAAGCTTTAAAAGATGAGTTTTTTGAAAAGCTGAAACTAATTTGGGAGTAGTACTGGAACAGCTAGCTTTTAAGATGGTGGTGGAAAGGAGAAAATTTTTTTAAATTTTTTCCCCAGAGCTTTGTTGTAATCAGTCATTTTGTTATCTGTAGGAAGATAGGATAGGGAGGCCCACCCTGGAGGCAGGCCAGAAAGGTGGAGAAAAGGGAGAGGTGTCAAATATTTAAGGAGGTTAATGAGCTAACACCTGCAACAATCTGCAACCACCCATGTGGCCTGGCCAATCAAAATTAAGCAGAACAACCACAGACCCAGAACTTGAGGTTTGGGGAAATTTCCTAATACAGAGCATATGCAGAAGCCGCATACCCCTAACCCAAAGTAACTTTATAACATGCCCATATCATTATAATCTAATTTTAGCACTGCCTTCTTTATGAGGTTTTGGCCTTTCCAGATCTGAGCATGTGCAGAAGGGCTCTCGGGGACCTGTCACTCAACCTGTCACTGAAGGGACTCAGTCCCTCCTTAAGAATGCCCCTTCATGCCCCTTTTAGGAAGTATAGGCCACTCAAGCTGGCTAAGACACTTGCCTGCTAACCAGACGTCTGGCGGTTCAAACCCACCAGCCACTCCTGGGAAGGAAGTTTGGGCAATCCTACTTCCGTAGTGATACTGCCTCGGAAACCCAAGGAGGGGTCGCTATGAGTCGGGTTTGACTCGACGGCACATAATAACAACAACAACAAGGCCACTCAAGTTAAGCAGCTTGGGGTCCTTCCCCTTTCCACCTTTATGGAAATGTCTTTGTGTTGATGTCTGCTCTACCCATGGAGCTCAACTGTTCACCCTCTGGAACATACTTTGCTTTTTAATAAAGGCTTGTGTGCTTGTGAGTGACTGGCGCTTTGTTAAGTAAATTTGTTAATCTGCCACCAGCACCATTGACACCAATCACCACTCCCTTGCAGACCACCTGGGATTGCCTGCCCACAGATGGCTCACTTGTGTGGCTCACATTGCCGAGATTCTTCTTGCAAACAGGGCGAGGCCAGGGAAAGGGCTTCTCTGCCCAGATGACAATTTAAGAGTTACCCAATAAAATGCTAAATGCAATGGTTGTTTTTGTTGTTGTTGTGTGCCGTCGAGTCGCCCCGACTCATAGCCATCCTAATATAACAATGTCTAGTAAATGTGGCCAATCCACATTTAAAGAATGGTTTTTCTGATCTAACCATTATACTTAATAAAGACTGTACTTTATAGGCTACTGGGTGGGCATTGTTGGTATATGATAGAGAGTGATTTAAAACAAGAAAATGTATCTGAGTTTTTAGATCTGAATCACTTTTGATCCTTTGAGTTTTGTTACATGGGAAGGTGTACATTTATTATATACTGACTTGCCAGTTTTTTGAGTTTTGCATCTTCTCTTTTAAAGCCTCAGCAATATTTCTGTCAGTATATTGAAGGTACAACACTTTTATTCTCTGATGGTGATTTTCACAAAGGGCTAGGCATCATTCAGAATTAGGTAAGAGTGAATTTATGTTAATGGGAGAGGAACAATTTGAGAGGGGGAAAAAAAACAAACTCAACTGCTGTCGAGTCGGTTCCGACTCACAGCGACCCCTCCTTGAGTTTCCGAGACATTGTCACTGCGGAAGTAGATTGCCCAGTCTTCCTTCCGAGGTGTGGCTGGTGAGTTTGAACTGCCAGCCTTCTGGTTAGCAGTCAGATGCCTTAGGCACTACTCCACCAGACCAGACACCTAATTTGGAAGAAAGAGGGTGAGAATTGCTATACAACTTGAAGAATATAATTAGTGTCACTGAATTTGTACATGTAGAAATTGTTGATTTGGTATTATTCTCAACAATAACACAAAAATAAAAAAATAAATAAAAGAACCACATAGATAAACAAAGTAGATAATTAGCCTAGAAATTAAGGTATAATGTATGGCTCTAAAATACAAGGCAGATTGTGTTGTAGCTTGTAAAAACAGGATCTAATAGCAATTCACAAAAGATTTAAAACAGTGGTGATGTTAGAATAAATGTAGTCCCTTTCTGGGTGACTGCTTTAAAGAATGTCTCATGTATAAATCTGGTTCATTTGTTTACACTTTTGTCATCTTCAGATGATAAAACTCAGGAGGTTCCAAAGCTAAATTGGGCCTAGACAGGTAAACGAATAACAGTGATATTGAGAGGATGTCTTAAGACACCAATGGGAGTAAGCAGAAATCTGACACAGTCTAGGCTTACAATCATAGGCTTCTAAAGGTTGGAAATGATTGTCCTGAACATTTCAAAGACTTCCCGTGGCTTCTTTGGGCTCAGAAAATTTAAAGGGGAAATTTATAGGCAAATTGCTTATGATACACACATATAATTTTACATACATATTTTCTATTTTCCTAATTATAAACATTTAAAAATCATGAAAGTACAAATGAAAAAAAGCTATTATAATTATACCTATCAGAGAAATCCTCATTACTCTTTTAACTTCCTTTCTCCTATGCACTGTCTTTATAATATAATCATATATAAATCTTATAATCATATATAAATCATATAATCATACTGCATTAGTTTGAATATTGATTTTTTCTTTTTAAAATAATTTATCATAATTTTTTCAAGTCAATAAAAATTCTTCATGAACAAAATATTTAGTACTGATCTTTTAGTTTATTATAAGTTCCACATGGCTCATAAAGTTTATTGTTAAATTATTTAAAGTTTATTATTGAGGAAGTAATAACTTAGATTATTTCTTTTCTCATATTCATAGTATCTGAAAAAAGTATGAGGGAGGCATAGACCCATAAGCATCTGATGGTATTATGTTTTATTTTATTCTGTAAGAAAACAGCATACCAAACTCATTGCTGTTGAGTTGATTTTGACTTCTGGAGAACTCATGTTACAGAGTAGAACTGCTCCGTAGGGTTCTTGGCTGTAATCTTTTTTTTTTTTTTTTTTTTAGTCTTTATTATTATTTATTTTTTTATTATGATTTGGGTGAAAGTTTACAGAGCAAATTGCTTTTCCATTCAACAATGCACATACGTTCTGTTTTGTGATAATTATTGCAATCCCCACATTGTAACAGCATTCTTGGCACTTCTTCCCTGCGCCAACCCCTACCTTTCCTCCTTCCTTCCCATCCCTTCCCACCTTCTCAGCTCCATCCCCAGGCAAATGCTGTCCCCTTGATCTCATATATTTGATTGTTCTAATAAGTGCATACCCTTCTGATACTACTGTTCACCCAGGTGATTCTTATATGTAAGAATCTACCTAAATATCTACCTATCTACCTTATGGTACATGCGATAAAAGAGTCCATTATTGCCATCATTCATATCTCCCCATCTTAGGGATGAGAATGATAAGGCTCAGAATGTTAAAATGGCTTGTCTCCAGGGGCACAGCCACTGATTTAGATGTCTAGCCATTTTCTCTGGCCAGTTCTGTGAGCTTCTCAAATTGTCCCTTAGGCTTAAAGAGGTGCTTTGGAATATGGGAGGCAGGCAAGAAAGGCAGAAGCCAAGTGTTCTCCAAAAGGGAGGCCCTTGTTCCTGGGAGACCAGTAAGCTCTCCCTCCCCATCTTCCCCTCCCTTCTGCCCCCTCCACACATTTTAAACAGCTCTTCTCACAGTCTGCTAGCAGCAGGATTTGGCTGTAATCTTAATGGGAGCAGATCTCCACGCCTTTTTTTTGCAGTTCCGCTGAGTGGGTTTGAACTGCCAATCTTTAGGTTAGTAGTCAGGTACAGACCATTTGTACCACCCAGTGACCTCTTAGTTCTATGGGCCTTATTTTTTATTATTTGTAAATGTTCTCTTTGCTAATATGTAGCCCTAGTTGCTATTTTGGTTACGGAACTGAGAAAAGTTTATTTCTTCTCTCTCTTGCTGAAGGTGGTTGGAGGCAAAGTAAAGAAGCCTGGTAAACGTGGTCGAAAGCCAGCCAAAATCGACTTGAAAGCAAAACTTGAGAGGAGCCGGCAGAGTGCAAGAGAATGCCGGGCCAGAAAAAAGCTGCGGTATCAGTATTTGGAAGAGTTGGTATCCAGTCGAGAAAGAGCCATATGTGCTCTCAGAGAGGAACTGGAAATGGTAAGGATGTCTATCAATAAACACATGAAATAACTTCAACTTATCAGTCAAAGAAATATACTTTGAAACAGGATGATACCAGTTTTCACCTATTTAGTTGTCAAACAGTGGAAATGTTAATGAGGTTGTAGGAAAATAAGCATTTTCATACACTGCTTGTAGGAGCTGCATGTACATGACTTTCATTGAGGAACTGTTTATGATAGAAAAAGTGGAAAATAACCCAAATGTACAACAATAAATGATTGGTTAAGTAAATATTATACTGTATCCATATGTCAGACTACTTTACAGCCAGTAGAAATCACAATGCACATATTTTTCTTACTGACATAAAAAGATATGCAAAATACATTCCTACCTTGAAAAAATAATATAGCAATATGTAAAATATGCATAGTACGATAAGGAGCTCTGATGGTTCAAACCCACCAGCCACTTTGCAGGAAGACTGGGCAATCTATTTCTGTAAAGATTTGCCACCTCGGAAACCCAAAGGGGGTCACTCTGAGTTAGAATTGACTCGATGGCAGTGAGTTTGGTTTGAGTTTTGGTACCATTTGTGTTTCAATATTTGTTTAAACATGTAGTCATTCATTCAGATTTTGTGTAGTGCTTGTGGAAATGTGAAAGAGAGTAGGTAAAAGAAAATTGAAACCTTACCACTATGAACTCAGACAGGAAGTGACAGTTAAGCGAGGGATGATACTATCATGAGGTTGCAAAATACAGACAGGTACCTCAGTGTTTTTAGAAGGTAAGAAATAAGGTTGGAGCACGAGAAGAATCCAAATATACACTATTCAAAAGATTGTTTTCCTTAATATATTGAATTTTATTTGGACTATAAATTATTTCTTGCCTTCTATGAGGTAATGAATCATCTTCCCATTGCCATCAAGTTGTTTTTGACACAGTGATTCTATAGAGCAGAGCAGAACTGTCCCATAGGGTTTCCAAGGTAGTAATCTTTACAAAGAAGCCTTGTTGGCACATTGATTTAAGTGTTTGGCTGCTAACTGTGAAGTTGGTGATTTGAACTCACCAGTTGCTCTGAAGGAGAAAGCTGTGGCAGTCTGCTTCTGTAAAGATTTGCAGCCTTAGAAACCCTTTGGGTCAGTTCTGCTCTGCCTTATAGGGTCACTGTGAGTCAGAATAACGTTGACAGAAACAGGTTTGAGTTGTTTTTGGTTTAATCTTTTTTTTTTTTTTTTTTAATTAGGATTTGGGTGAAGATTTACAGAGTAAATTCACTTTTCATACAGCAGTTCACATATACTTTGTCTCATGTCATTGACCAAAATTTA